AAATATTCTTATATTATTTTGGTATGGTCCATATTTGAAAATAATTTTTAAAAATACCCTTTAACCTAAATTAGGAAACTCCTTTCCTTTTAGGTTCTTTATTTTCAAATTTGAAACTAACTTTCAAATTAGGAAACCGATTTCTAAAATAAGAAAATTTCATTTTAGGAAACTTTTCACTTTCCATTTTATGAAACTTTCCATTCAAAAACTTTTTCCAAAATGGAAAACTTTCATAATTAGAAAATTTTTCCAATTTCTTTGCTTCTAATTTGTAATGTCAATACTTGAACTTATGTGTGTGACTTAATAGGCTTCTAGATATGTTTGCAATGTATGAAGAATAAAAGACTCCTCTTTCATCTCTTGATACATAAATTAAGATTTGTTTCTAGCAAGGCATCATGACTACCCAATTATCTAGGAGGATTAGTCAATCCATTATTACCTTTTACGAGCATGGTTACCATACAATTCAGTCCTCATGTTAAGTTATCATAGTGTGATCTCAAACTTGGTTATTAGTCTTGTTTGATTGTGATCACACAAGTTTTCTTTGATTCCCAAACACCTTAGCTCCTAAAGTAAACCGACTATGCTATATTAGCATACTCCTATTATGGCCATAGATTTCTTGAGCGGACATTTATCGAAGTGTCAAAATGCATAATTCCTCCAATGAGATAATAGGAATGACTTCAAGTCTAAGGACTATTTATACCCATCTCGTATGAGATTCCCATAGACTAAAACCAAATGAGTTGTCATGGTGAGTCAATTCCAGTGATATGTTCTCTAACATAAATCACCCAAGTGCTTGCTTTGACATCATCATGCCAATAGGTGTGAGATCTCCTATTGCTATGATATAGCATGAGCATAACACTCATAAGTCTATCTCGCATATTGTCAATGTCCATTCTTGATGATGCTATGACTTGGACATTTAATGATATCATTTATGTGCATTAGTGTTTGTCTCACATCTTTCAATCAATCACTATTCCAAATACATATCATAAGAGATGGACAACTTACATCCAAAATTTTTCTTCAATTCCTAAATGTCTTATCTCTTAGAGTAAATCAACTATTTTTTATTGGTGTACTCCTAATATGGCCATAGGTTTCTTAAGTAGACATCCATTGAAGTGCAATGTGATAACTCCTTTAGCATATAAGAAATGAGATATCCTATCTTAGTCATCTATCAACCTTTATTAGATTCCTAATGCACCTAATGAATCATCCATGTGTATATTCATCGAAACGAGTGTCAAAGTACACTAATCCTTTAATGAGATAACCATGATGATTTTAAGTCTCGTGGACCATCCGTACCTATATCGTATAAGATTCGCATAAACTAAATCAAATGGGTTCTAATGGAGAGTCAAGTCTAGTGATATGTTCTCTAGCATAAATCACTTAAGTACTTGCTTTGACATCATCATGTCAATAAATGTGAGATCTCCTACTACTATCATATAGCATGAGCACAACACTCACAAATCTAACCTCATATAGTCAATGTACATTCTTGACAATGCTATAACTTGGGACATGTAATGATATCATTTATGTGTGTTAGTTTTATCTCACATCTTTTGATCAATCACTAATGTAAATGCATATCATATGAACTTTTGTCTAATTCTATTCAATAAATAAATATAAGACATAAAAATTAATAGAAAGACTTGTTTTATTATTAATAAAATAAATAATACAATATTACAATAACTCAAACCTATCCAAACATGGTTGGAGCACCTACACTAATAATCTTCCACTTGCAATAGAGCCAACCAACTTTGTCTCTTAATCCCGACGATCGAGTAAGGGACTCATGTTTTAGCTATGATAAAGGCTTAATCAAAGGATTAGCAATTTTGTTGTCAATGTGGACCTTTTCTATTCTTGTGTCACTATAATTGATAGTCTCTCTAATCGGATAGTAACGTCGCAATGCATGCTTGGACCATTGACAAGACTTTGGTTCCTTAGCCTATGCTATAGCTTTGTTATTATCATAATACAATACTATTGAATCAACAATGCTAGGAACCATTTATAGTCTAGACAAACTTTTATGAATATAGACAACTTTCTTAGGTGCTTGTATAGCTACAATATATTTAGCTTTGATTATTGAGTTGTCCACTAATTTTACTTGGAACTTTTCCAGCTAATAATTCTACCATTCAATTCAAAATTGAATCCTAATGATGACCTAAAGTTATCATGGTCAATTTGAAGACTAGCATCTGTGAACCCTTTCACTACTAGTTCATCTCTTTCATAGATCGGGAAAACATCTTTAGTTATTCTCAAGTACTTCGAATGCTTTTTATGGTAATTTAATGTTTTTCATCTAGATCGGCTTGATATTTACTACGTATACTCAAAGCATATGAGACATCAAATCGTATACACAACATAGCATATATAATAGATCCTATGGCTAATGCATAAGGAATATGGCTCATCATTTCCCTTTCGTTTTGTGTGTTAGAACACTCATCCTTAAAATTTTTTATGCCATGTGACATTGGAATAAGTCCTCTCTTGGATTCTTCCATAATAAACCTCCTTCGTATTTTATCAATATACGTGCTTTGAGAGAGTGCTAACATTTTTTGTGATTTATCTCTATAAATCTTAATTTCTAGAATGTAAGTTTTCTTTCCCATGTATTTTATGGAGAAATTTTTGGATAATCAATCTTTTATAGATTACAACATGATAATGTTGTTGCCAATAAGTAGTATATTGTCTACATTAAAAAATTAATGGATTTCAATGACTATATGGGTTGTTGATAAGGGCTTTTAGGCTTTTGATTAGTTTTTTCAAAAGAGATGACCGAAGCTAAAGGTCAATAACATATAATGAGAGGATGATAACGACTAGGCCTTAGGTCCAACGAGTATATGGTGTTGGAGATTGATAGGAGATTGGAGAACTAAAGGTTTTAGTGTTTGTGAAGGTTTCAATTGGCAATACAGGTGCCTCAATAGTGAGTTGTATGGTTGATAAGGTAGTTTTGGTTGTGTGATTATGACGAGTTGTGATTCATAAGTGCTAGTGGTTGCTGAAGGTGGCCGAATGACAAGGATGTTGCTAGAATGTCTTTAATCGCAATAATGAATGTAGATTTGGAATAAAGACAATCGTGATGGGATAAGTGAATATCATGGAGATTATTGGCTAAAAACAATGATTATAGTTACTAACTAGATAGGAGAGAGAGAGAGGGGGTTGTGGCGGTGATATTCTATGGCCATCGAGGGTTAGTCGAATGGGTGGTTGGTGAGGGGATGTCTAGCGATTGCAAGTGCCTATTTTTTTTTCTTTTTCTTTTTTTTATGAACGAGTAATGAGGTATTTATAGAGGGAATGATTAGGGTTTAGGGAAATTTTCAATTTTAGTACAAATTTCAATTTTTTTTTTATTATCTCTACAATTGAAATTATTTAAGCCATTTTCTTCTAGTTTCTTTCAATTTTCCCTTTTTTTTACCTTCAATTAAGACTGTTGGATGTCAATCCTTTTAAATTAATTATGTAATTGGATTTTCTTTGGTCTTAATTTCTCATATAAATTTTTAATTGGATCACTAAATTATTTTTTAATTTATTCTTCTCTCTCTCTCTCTCTCTGTCTCTCTCTCTCTCTCTCTCTTGTATTTTCTTAGAAAATGTTAAAATTAGGGGAAAAATTTAAGTGTTAACAGTTTTCTTCTCTTTACAATGCTTTCGTCGTAAAGTCATTAAAAGACTATTCTTTGACTTTGCATAGAAAGTTTTATTAATAACACAAAAATAAAAGAGGCAATCATCACATTTAAATGAAAGTTGACCATTCGATTGAAGAAGTTGAAATAAAAACATGTGACATGAAAGACCATGATGTTTTTTTAAAATGTGCTACTCGTTAAAGTGTTTTGAAAAATAGGACTCTCTCGAAGAAAACTTAGTAAGTGCATTGGTAGAAATTGTGATGGTGGCTAAGCCACTATCGGTGGTTAGAACTTAGGTAGCTGCTACGAAGACAACCATTATAGAGTTTCTATCTCTAAATCAAAATTATTTTCACCATGGCAATGTTGCTTGCAAGTGTAGCCTCTATCAAAAAATCACAAAAACCCTTGACCCAAACTAGCATACATAATCCTAAATCGATAATTTTTGTAGCAATTATTCATATCCGTATAAAATTCTAACAAAACCTAATTGCTTCGCTATCTTACGTGAAAAACCAATCAAACAAATTTCCGAGACCCATTTTGCAAGACATCCTAATGATGTGTAGGGAATTAATGAACATCAATGATGAACTCTGCGATGTTATTCTCAATTTTGGAATTGGAAAAAATGGAAAGATAATTTGTGAACACTCGATTATGAAGTTCTCCATAGGTAGGCCTTCTTTACATGAAATACAAAATCACATCAATAGGAATTAGTAATTGAATGGAGAAGGAGTTATGGGTTTATTGGATCCTCGTCATGTCATGGTCCATCTTTCTTCTAAATTAGACACAAGCAATATGTTATCATAGGAATAAAATAAAATTATCAATTATATGTATCGAGTTTTAGGTGGATTTCAAATTTTAGCTTTTAATGAGATAATTTCATCATTACTATCTAGGTAAGACTTCATCATCCTTTTTTTCATCTTCCCTTGCCAATTTTTACACCTTCATATCTAAACCATATTAGGGAATGCATAAACACATTTTTTAGGGCACATGATAGAACTAGTTCATTAACACATCTTATGTATACAAGGGTATGTTTAGAAGTTGATATGTTAAAAATGTTACCTTCACAAATATGGATTGGCAACTTGAAAGAAATTTGATTTTAGCAATGGATAGATTATAAAGGTAACAAGGATTATTTTCATCATTGTACGATTATTTGGCATACTATTGAATATTGTTAAAAGCATAATAAACTAAACCCTAATAATGGTACAAAACAACGAATAGGTAGATCAATTGAATGAGGCAACAACTCTTGGTAACCGACCCATAGTTGGAAATCAAAGTAATGGACAAGATTCTTATCGACCAATGTCAAAGAAAGTGGGAAAGGATATTGATAATGTAGTGGCAAATGATAAAAGGGAGTCTAGTAGGGTGTTTTAACCTAGTTATATATCTATTAGTAACTCGGGTAAAGTGGTAGCATTTAATGTCGAAATCATAGTGGGTTGAATGTTGATGATAGCCAAGAAACAAATATGGCTACGGATGGTAAAAGGTCCATTATTTCAACCATAAAACGTAATTTTTGAAACAAGAGCATCAACTTTCACACTTGGTCAAAAGTTTGGCACCCTCAAGTGGCTAAATCCTTTTATTTTTATTATCTTTTATTTAATTGGGCTGTATTTTATTTATTTGGATTATATATATATATTAATTTTAAGAACTTGGGCTAATTAATTAGTCCTCTAAATTTTTGGATTTCCTATTTTATAGGGACTTGGTCGTATATAGCCTAGTGGGAAATTTAATCAATTTAATCATTGTGTAATTTAGATCCTTTTTTATACGGATCTTTTTACCTATTTTGAGACCATTTAATATGTGGATCTAGATTTAATTAGGTAATTAATAAATTTCTAATTTAAGATGTATGGCATAAGTCCAAGTCAAATTAGGAAAAGACTCTAATTTAAGAAGAGTATCATAACTCATCAAGGAAAGGAAAGTCCTACGCTAGCGGACTTTTAGACTATTCTGTTTGAGTATTTAAGCATAATTTGTGCTACCTTTTTCAATTAGACATTGATGAATATTTAAATAAAAATTGAAAGTTTTATATGTAACTTCTTACGTATCTCTTTCGCTTAGATCGACTAGGATGTTGTGAACACATCCTTAAATTAATCGACTAAGGTTATCTTAGATCAAAATTATGTCGAGTGGACTCTTGATGAATATATCTTATAAATATTATCTAAATAAAATTAGGCTATGGATCTCTGCTTAGTGGTGAGACATTAGGACTTGCTTTATTTTATTACTTTGTTTGCCTGATAAATTATGGATGGATTAAAGTTCCGGACATAATAGTTTTGGTCTTCATGCTAACAACTAAGGCTAGGAATTTTAGTTTGATCTAAAATTTTTAATGTAGTTATTTAAAGGGGTGATTTACCTCTTGTTAAAAATCATAAAATTAAAAAAAAAAAAAACATTTGCTTATGTTTTTCGATTGTGGAAGTTGGTATAAATTCTAAAACCTACTTTGTATAGAATTTTGACTAGTAGAAAACTGAGGTTAGAGAGCCTAGATTGACCTAAAATTTAAACAAACACACTTTTTGATATTATCTAGATTATGTAAAAATTTTAATTAAATTTAAATTGATTTGTTTGGAGATTGTTCCTCCCTAATATTCGAATTTGTGTGTTTGTGGTTTGGTGATTTCATGACCTTGTTTGTGTTTATGTGTATTTAAAGTCTATTTGGAGAAAATTTGATGTCTGGTTTAGAGCTTTAGAGTTTTGACCTAGGCATTTTTTTTTCGTTACTTGAGTTTTTTCTTAGCTTGGCATATCTAGATCCGTTATCGGTTTGGTGTTAAAGCTAAGATTTGCTTCCCATTATGTATTGGCTGAATATAAAGATGCACTAAAGAAGAGCAACCACTAATCAAATAATGATGCATGATATGCAAAAAGTAATTAAAGAACCGCAACAAGCCAACATTGAGCTTTAATATAGAGATAAAGACTTGAGACAAGTTGTGTGCCCGAAGAAAGATAGAAATTAATAGATGTAGTGGGAGTCCTCGAATGACCATTAAATAGAATCTCTTCCATACATAAGTGTCAATTTTCTCAAGAAGAGGAGATATCTTCTTAAGTTAGTATGAGACATAAGTAGCCTTGTGGGTTCCATGATTATGGAGTCAAGCTTAGGTTTGATGAATATAAGGGAAGGCTTAGCTCGGATGTCTTTGTGGAGTGGCTGCATAGAGTGAAGAAAGTCTTTAACTTCCATGACATAGAAGAGAAAAAAAGGTTAAACTTGTCATTACCAAGCTAACAAAAAAGGTTGTGTTATGGAGGGAGAACCTAATGAGAGAAAAAAATGACTACGTAGGAGAAGATGAGAAAGATATTGAGATCTAAATACTTGCCTAAATTCCATAGACAACATCTTTATAAGGGAAGCAATGGGAATGATCTAATGAATACCCTTGTATCATAAATAAAAGAGGAGATGCTAAGAGAATGATCTAGTGAATACTCTTAGTGTGTAAAGGAGATGGTCTAGTAGAGACCCTTAGATATTTTAAGAAGGACATCTATCGGGAAAGATCTAAATGGTTTGTAAAGGGAACGATTGAATGTATACTCTTGAGTTATGAAAGAGGACTCAAAAGAGAATAACCTAGTGCATAATCTTATGAAGATGATAGAAAAAAGATGTTACATTATAAAGATAAATAAGAATTAGAGGATTCACAAATAGAAGTTTAGAAAAATTAAGTTTAATGATCAATTATTAAAGACCATTCATGTTAAATGATTGATGATAATTGAAGAATATTAGTGATCATGATGGAAATTCTGAGGATGGAATTTTTGTAAATAAAGAAGGATGCAATACACCAACACAAAATCCTCCTTAAATGTAAATATATTGTAAGGATGTTTTGTTTAATTAATAAAGGAATATTTAGTTAAAATGAGGAATGAAAGTTTATACTTGTATTAAGAATAGATTAAATACAAATATGATTTTTATGAAAGGTGAATGGATTAATTAAAATATGAATTTAAGGATTATAATATTAAGATTTATGGTTATGTATAAGCCTAAGGATGTAATTGTAAAATCGTAATTGTGTAATGATAACAATTAAAAGTTTAGGTCCTCAAATAAAATAATTAGAAAACTTTGAAAATCATAATCACTCTAGCAAAGGTATAGAATAATGGCTAGATTGTGAGAAATTATGATAGATTTCCCCCTAGTCATTACTCCCAAGCCCTCATCCTTTTTTGAAGGAAAACTGGTAGTAGTGTTCTCAAATGCAAATCTACAAGCAATATGATAAAAAATTTCATTTCTCTTTAGTAACTAAATTCTCTAAGGGAAGTCCCTAATCAACTACATTCGAGATCATATTCAAGAACATTGAGGCTACCCAAAACCCCAGTGTTTGGCCTCATTGATCCTTATAATGTTTTTATTTGTCAATTTTACACAAAAAGATTTAATCAAGGCCTGGACTCGGGACTCTCATCTTATAGGAAACTACCAATTTTTATTGTTCAAAGGAGATTCATCCTTCGACATAAAAGTTGTGCCTTCATTGGTGTTCATTTGGATTAGACTTCCAAGCCTCCCCGTCTCCTTCTTTCCTACTGCATTTTTATAAAAGAATGTATTACTTTTTGGACATCTCTTATGTCCAAATGATAAAACGAGAATTGGCTCTCACCCAATACATATAAGGGTTTGTGTCAAACTTGATCTAATAACTCCTATCCCTCTCGGAATATGGATATTAGTTACTAATGATAGAACTAAAGGCTTCGGCAGCCTATTGTTATGGATTCTAATGCTTCATTTTGTAACAATTACAAATTATAGGGTCAATTAACAAGCAACTCGCTATAAACTTCCTTAAAATAAGTAATTATTAATGTAGTAAATCCACCATGTTGCTCATGTAGTGTAGTCTCATTAGCCTAGGGTGGAGAAAATATGGTAACCTAGTAAAAGGAAGGTACAAGGTTTTCCTTACAATTCAAATAAGGAAAACTTCCATCCCTCCACCTCTAAATGTAAAGGAGTCATGGAATCTCCTTCCATGAGGCATCCCCCTAAACAAGAATTTTCTTCTAAAGAAAGGAACAAGACATCGAACATGGGAAATATTCAATGCTACCAAGCATGCTCTAAACAACTTTCCATTATAGTCATTCACTATAACAAGAAAGATATGAATTCTGGGGATCAGAATGCTTCAAAAAGTGATCTAGGTTTTGTTTCGACTATGGCCTATAGTGCCATATAGAGAGAAATCAATTCATGTTCACAATATGTATCTGGACAATTCACACACATTCTGAATGGCATAGAGCTACGAAAAGGTGTCAATGAGAGCTACCCTCTACCATAAATCTCTACTACTGTTTCTACTAAAATTATTACCTACCTTAACTTGTTTAAAGTCTCTACTACTAACACTTCAATGACTAAGGAAGGGAGTAATTCAAGGGCCCATGTACATTTTACAGTAGAACTAGTGTCTAACGTTAATATGGAGTACAGTGCCAAGTAGCAAAAATCAATAGCTCATACAGATGTGAATTTTAAGCAAACTTCCCATAAAACTAAGGGGAAAGATTCTACAATGTCCACAAAAATTATGGCCTACACGTCTAATTTAGAGAGGATGCATACAAAGACTCAGACTAGATCAGTTGCTGCTCTATTTTCAACTTTGGTTGGGTTCTACAGTATTATGTAGATGGATCCTACCCATGGACCTACTACTAATAGTTCATAGGCTAAGGAAAGGAGTAATAATGAGGCATAACTAAACTAGTTTCTCGTACTAACAGGGAGTATAATGCCATGGAATAGAAACTGATAGCATAGGTAAATGTTAACTTTGAGCAAATTACCCATAAAACTAATAGAGGGATTCTACAGTAGCTATAGATAGTATGGCCTCCGCGTTCAATTTAGAAAGGATACATACAGAGGCTTAGTCTAGTTCAATTATTGCACCAATCTTAGTTTTGATAAGTTTAGAGTCTCTTACCCATAAGCCTTATACACAAGCCTTTCCTACGAAGAAGGCCTTATTAGATCAAACTCTTACTGGGCATCATCAAGAACTCATAGCTAACATCTTGAACAAGATAACTTCCACTCTTGTTGCCTTGGTTATAGCTCAGAAGATGGTTAATATGCTTACTAATGATATAATAAATGGTGATAAGTGTTGTTCATCGAAAGAGGAGCCCCAACCACTTCAGATTTATCTAGAGAACTATCAACACATAATTGTTTTGATACCTTATCTATGCTAAATCAACATAGCATGAACGATGTTAGGATACTAGACCATGCAGTAGGTTTATTATCCCTCCCATACAACTTTAGAAGGAACATTTGAGTTTGTAGACACACGTCATAGGGTTGTAGAAATCTTCTAAGACAAGATTTAATAGTTACAACAATAAGGAAGAGTGGTATCCAAAAAAAAAAAAAAAAAGTTAGTTAAAAGTCTTATGTAGATCAGTCAAGGACGAACTGCTAGATCTAAAGTAATTCATAATGGGGAGCCTATCTTTTCTCTTCCCTAATGAATAACTTGATATAGAATCTCAGAGGTTTAGGTTTACGTAACAAAAAGAGGTACCTAAGGAGGTTAATTAGACAACATCAGGTAACCCTACTTATTATTTTAGAACCAAATCAACAAAGAGATAAGTTGTTTTCTTTTACTATGACTATGAATTTATCTAGTTGTGCTCACAGTAATCTATTAAATAAACAAGTCTGGCTCCTACGAAAAGATCACTTGGAGATAGATGTTCAGGAAGTGTGTTCTCAAACTATTATGGTTAGGATTAGAGATAAGATTTCTCATAGGTATTTTCTCTTCATAGTAGTTTATGCAAGCTACAATAGGATTGAAAAAATAGTACTTTAGGACAACCTTCATTCCTTCTAGGTTAACATTCCTTAGATCATTGGTGGTGACTTCAACATGATTATGGACAGTCTTGAAAAATTATGAGGAATATAGTTAGGTTTGGACTCCATGCTAGAATTCAACATTGTCATGTAGCTTCTAGGGGTCCATGACATTTGGTTTACACAGAGCAAATTCACGTGTTGCAACAATCAACAAGGTATAGTGAGAATATGGAAATGTTTGGATAGCATTTTGATCAACACCACAGCTCTTTTAGGTCTCTTAAAACTATAATGCATGCATTTAGTTCGTATACACTTAAACCATTGACCAGTATTACTCACCGCTTCTATGTGTAATACACTACCCTTTTGTTTCTCTTTCAAACAAAAATGGACATCTCATGAAAATTTTCTCCTATTTTTTTACAAGCACTAGTAGTCTTCCTATAGTAATTTATCTTTCCTCGACCTCCAACTGAAGCTTAAAGCACTGGAAGGGGATTTAAGGGCCTATAAATGGAATGTTTTTAAGGATATAAACCATCAGTTAGGCCATACTATGGATGAAGTCATTCATGTAGAAGCCTTGTTGTAGATGCTGTGGACTCAGGAGAATTTTTCAAGATCTATTGCGGTCAAGGGCGCTTTGGCCAAACTTTTAAATCAAGAGGAACAATTATTGCAAGAAAAATCACGAATAAAAGTGGTTGAAACTGGCCAAACGTAACTTACCCTTTTTCCATGCTTGCATCAGAAATAGATAAATTATATCAAAATTTACTCTTACACTTGAGGATGGTAGTGAATATATAGATGATAGTAAGCTTAGGGCTACAAATGTGGAGTACTTTAAGGACATCCTTAAGAGTGAACCGCATGCCATATCAATATCTTTCCTTAATGCTATTCTTGAACCAGTCACCGATCAAAAAAATTCATCTCTCATGACCATCCCTCACTACTAGAAAAAAATAAATTAGTGACAAAATTTAGTGACGGAAACCAATCGGTCGCTAATTCGTGACGGATTAGGGAAAAATATTTTTTATGATGGTTTTATGACGAAACGTTAGCGACGAAACAAATCCGTCGCTAAAACAAACTCAACGACGGATTAGCGACCCAATTAATTTCGTCGGTATCTATTGGGAGAGATTTTCTCCCAAGAAATAGCGACGGACGGTCGTTCTATTGCTATTTAGAGACGAGATAGGCTTTTTTGTCGCTATTTAAGGGGGAATTTTCCCCCTTTTAGCGACGAACGGGGTTTATCGCTATTTAAGGGGGAAATTTCCCCCCATTTTAGCGACGGATTGGTCGGTCCATCGTTGTTTAGTGACGGACTTATTGTCCATCGCTATTTTGGGCGGAAATTTCCCCCTTTTAACGATGGATTTGAGTTTGTCGCTATTTTCCTTATATATACCCCCTCCTTTCCCTTCTTCATTTGTCTTTCTCACCTCCACCACATCTCTCTTCCATTACACCTCCTTCTCCAATGCCACCAAAAAAATGGTCACTCGAGCCGACTCACGCAAATAAATTTTTTTCCACGGCATTTAACAAAGTAAGGGTTATCTTTCGTCCTCAAAATCGGATCGGATTTGTGTTACATAAACTTCATTTGTCGGATAAAACTTTCTCTCTTAATTTTTTTTTTAAGTTAGATGAATGTTATATATTTTAATTAAAATTTGTTGCTTATTAGTGTATCAATTATTTGAATATTGCTAATTATTATTTTTGGTAATTGCTATTAGATCCGTTCTATATAAACTTCATTTGTCGGATAAAACTTTCTATCTCAATTGTTTTTTAAGTTAGATGAATGTTATATATTTTAATTAAATTTTGTTGTTTATTAGTTTATTAATTATTTGAATGTTGCTAATTATCTTGTTTTGTTAATTGATATGCAGTAGTTTTAATTTGTTAGTTGTTATTTTATTTTGATAATCTGTTAGATTTATTTTGCTAAGTTTTAGTTTGTTGTTATTTTGATAATTAGTTGTTATTTTAGTTTATGTTGCTAAGTTTTATTTTTCTATTTATCTTGTTTTGTTAATTTTTATGTTAACGTAAATCTTAAAATATATAATTTTTTTTAATTTTATATTGTTAGATGAAAATTTAATTTTTTAACCTTAAATTATTAGTATGTTTAATTGAATTAATTATTTAATTATTTATTTTTAATTGTTATAGTTTAATTTGATGAGTTGTTTGTTTAGATATAATTTAGAAATTATATTACTTTTTAATGTAGTTTAATAAATTCAAATATAAATTTTATAAGTAATTTTATTACTTTAATTAATAAAATTAAAATAATATGACATGTATAATGATTTGATTGTATCGAAAAACAATTAAAAAAATATAATTAAAAAATTAATGTAAAGATTAAAAATTTATAAATAATTTCTTAATTAATAAAATAAAATAAATATTTTACTTGAATATTTTTAAAAATTATGTAGGTGATCATGTAAATTAATGTTTTTTTACTTGTTGAAATCATTTTTTTTATATATTTTAGGTGCAAATGATAATATAATTATTAAAATTACTTTAAAAATGTTAAAATTATATAAATATATAGATAATTGATAGAATTAAATAAATATTTTAGTTGAATGTTTTCATAAATTATTTAGTTCATTGGTAATTTAGCGTATTTTAACATAAAAACAAGTATAAAATTTTATGTATTTTAAGAAACAAATGATAATTTAATTCTCGTAAATTACCTAAGGTAGTGTAAATTAGGTTATTTGTTTTGTTTAGTTTAAGTTAACGTTATAACATATAGCACTTAAGGTTGAAAATTTAAAAAAAGAAACAAAAAATTATTGAATATTAAGAAATTAAGTAGTTATTTAAAAAATTTAAGCATTCCTTATATATTTATTTAAATAGGAAGTAAAATTCAAAAAAAAGAGTAATAACTAAATGAAGATAATTATATAACTAATATAATTGTTTAATATTTATTTAAAATAATTCGGAATGATGAGAAGTAATTGTTTACAATGATTATGTTATTTTTTACGAGTAATTTAAAAATGAGACTCGATCGACAATGGATGAATTTTAGGTTAGTAAATGGATTATTAAATGATGAATTCGTCAAAGGTGTTGACCAATTTTTAGCTTTTGTTGTTGAGCATCCCGAATGTATAGATGGAAGCAAAATTAGGTGTCCTTATAATTTCGGTAAGTGTTGAAATCGAAATTATGAAGAGATTGAAATTGTCAAATATCATTTGTGCTCGTAAAGGTTTTTTTCCTAGGATATTATAATTGGGTGCATCATGGTGAATTTAAAGACTATATGACATCCGAAACTTCTAGGAGTCAGCA